GAATATTTATAAACCTAAAATAATAAATATCTATTCATCATGGAATCAAGATTAATTTTGCAGCAAAATATTTATTTAATTGGTGATATTAAGACTCAAATTATTATCTTGATTCCATGATGAATAGATATTATAGAACAGCCCACATGGATTTAAGGGTTGCCCTTTCTTTGTAATTTGGAAAAAAGTGTTAATCTTTTCGTCTACATTTAAGCTCATACTACCGAATCGATTTTAAAAAATCACAAACTGTTCGAAATATATTAGTTGGGAATGATACTAATTAGTTTTAGGTGAAAATCTACCGAGCCGTTTCCTAGTAATTAACTGTTGAAAAAAAATTAAGACAATTTTTATGGAACTTTTTTTTGGCGATATATATCATGGTCTTATAGAACTTACTGAAATATTACGGCCTTACAAAAAGTAGTTTAATTTTAAAAATTCATCAAAGTGTGAGAAAATAAGTATTTTTTTGCGTTTGTTAAAATATAAATTAGACGATTTACTTGGTATAACGATAGAACACTTGGTCTTAATAAACATACTAAACCATTAAAGTCCTACGGAAACTGTCACATTATAAAATTGCTGATTTTTGAAAATTAGCTTTTAGAAAATATTCCGAGTTAACGTGTTCGTTTGTTTTCAATTATGTGTAATAAATCCACTCAGAATAGTTTTAATCACTCATAAATTAATTTATTTTTTATTGATTAAGTCTGCTGCATTCATCAAGAAAACCAACGAAGCGGTCAAGGAAGCTACAGCACCAAACTAATAAGGTGAGTCAAAGCAATTCTTTCTAATCCCATATCATATTTATTCCTAAAGTCTAGAATTTTGTGGAAATCTGAATTAAAATGGATTCCTTAAAATCGCCAAAAAACATTCAAAAATCTTTAAAAATACGTTTAACAAAATATGAAAACGCGTGTAATAAAATGTTAGAATTACCTAGCAGCGAGCTTAATATAGAAGAGATAAAGGATATTTTAGAAAAAGTGAAATCTCTCTTAGACACTTCTCAAGATACCCTTATCAGAATTACTATTTTTTTAGATGATGAGAAAGAAATTGATCAAATACTTGAAATAGAATTGAATAATTTCGATGACGAACATACCAGTTTGTCAATCAAAATTACATCAACTCATTAATCCGCAAATTCTAGTACAGATAGCAGCTTTAGTGAACAAACAATTAGACAAGCAAACAATATAAAATTACCGTAAATGAAATTACCTGAGTTTGACAGTTCATATTTAAATTGGTTGCAATTTTTTGATCCATTTAGTTCATTAATTCATAACGATCAAAATATCGATAATTCTCAAAAGTTTTACTATCTGAAATCTTGTTTAAAAGGCGAGGCGGCAAGCATAATTGAGTCTCTACCGACAACCGACGAAAATTATACTATGGGAATTATTAAAAACGCGCTACGAAAATAAAAAAGTTGTAGTCAATAACCACGTACAACAGTTATTTAACTTTCCGTCAATGTCTCGCGAATCATGCAAAGGCCTACGCGATCTCATTGATACTTTTTACAAAAACCTTAGATGTCTCAAAGCTCTAAAACAACCTGTTGAGCATTGGGACACGCTAATAAACTATCTAATTACAACAAAAATCGATAAAAAAAACGCAACAAGATTGGGAAATGTCGCTGAATAAAGGTTCAAAATCATGAACGTTTTACAAAATCTTTGCCATCAATTAATAATAATTGCGTATTTTGTAAAACTACTATTCATCCACCATTCAAATGTGAAACTTTCAAATCTTTAACCGTCGAAACCCGCTTAGCAAAAACAAAACAATTATATCTTTGCACGAACTGTTTAAGTAATAACCATATTAGTAATCAATGTTTTTCAATGAAAAGATGTAATATTTGTAATGCAACTCATCATACACTATTACATACCGAAACAACAAAACCACCAACACAATCTTTGCAAAATATTTAATGTCATAGTGACAACAAATCAAGTCAAACTTTATTGTCTACTGCTTTAGATCAAATTTTAAATGCTAATAATGATTGGAAGACATATAGACTTTTACTTGATTGCGGCTCTCAATGGAATTTTATAACTGCGGAATGGGTTAATGAACTTGGATTAAACAAACACAATCAGCAAACATGCAGGTCCGATGCATTAATCAAATTTCTTCAGAAATAAATGAGAAAACGAGAGTGACTTTAAAATCATTAGTAAATAATTATACGCTAGACTTATCGCGCTTAATCTTATATATAAAAATGGAGCTCTCGATAAAATAATCCGCTAAAACTCGAAAACGGCTAAACCGATTTGGCCAGTCTTAGTCTTGAAAAATTCGTGCTAATCAGTAGGTTTTCGGAAAGGTGGGATATTATTTCAAAATCGCGTAGAAACTTTACATATATACTTTTTATTAAATTTACTTTAATTCATCGTCTGTTACTTGAAACTTTTCAAAATGCAGGTCAAAGAAGAATACTTAATTCATTTTCTATCTCACCTCGCGGAAATTTGAAAAATTTGCATAAGCTCAGTAGTATTATTTACAATTATACACAAAATCCAGAATCCAAAAAGAATCAGAAAGACTTGAAACGTAACCAATAAGTCGAAAGAAAGTGTATAGAAAGTGT